CATATTACTAATCAAAAATTAAGTTTTGATATATTTATGGTGGGAAATTTACAAAATATCTTCATGGAACATGATCTTTATTTAATATCCTAATGATTTTTGGCATAAAAGAAAAATCTATAATTTTGACCCATACAATGTTTTTTTTGGCTATTTCTATAAATATACCCCAGCGACTTAAGACTGGTTTTGTGCTCCAGGGTCACATATATATGAATGCAAAATATTTCTATTTCAAATAAATGTTGTTCTTTTGAACTTTCTATTCATCAAAGAATCCTTAAAAAATAATGCATCACTGTTTCTGTAAAAATATTAATCTGCACAACTATTTTCATAAATGTTTCTTGAGCAGCAAATCAGCATATCAGAATGATTTCTGAAGGATCATGTGACACTGAAGACTGGAGTAATGATGCTGAAAATTCAGATTTACATCACAGGAACTAATTACATTTTAAAAAATATATTATAATAGAAAGCAGTTATTTTAAATGGTAATAATAATTTCACAATATTACTGTTTTTACTGTATTTTTAATCAAAGAATCTGTGATCAGATTTGCTCAATATACTGAACCTGCAATCAAAACTCAAGTCAAATCAAGTCAAATTCAGCTGCTCCACATTCATTTTACAGCTCTGTACTCATACTGTGTGTCAACAATTGTCTCATTTATGCCTATTTTTACTTCTTTCAGGATAAACATCTGAGATAAAGTGGATATGGTGGAGCAGTAACATGTTCCTCTGGGATCACATGTTGATCACTGACACATTTGTTTTGCTCGTTCTCACCGTCAAGAACTTTAACCAAATGTGATGGTTTGAGTCTCTCAGGAGGCTCTTTAGGGCTGGTTAAAGTTGAGAGCAGTTAAGTGAGAACATGTGTATTACTGCTGCTGTTCCTGACACACACACACACACACACACACACACACTGTAAGTTCACTCCTATAGAAATAAGAGCAACCAGCTGTGCTGTACACCGCTTAAATTAGCTACTCGCTTGTGAATAAATGAGTTGTGAAATTCAGAAAGACGGGGTTAAAATGGCACAGAGCTATAGAGAGATCCATATATGTTTAGTTTAACACTCTAATGCTGTTTCTAAGGCATCTTTGCTAATAAAAGCACATAAAACTAGAGCTTACCAATGCAAAACACACTGACACAATGCTAAGGTAAGCATGTGTTTGCTTGGATGTTCTGAGTGCTTGCTAGTGTGTTCTGGGTGGTTGTTTCCTGGCGTAAGTCAAATGATCTCTCAAGTCTGTTTTATCATCCAGCAGGCAGAAAAAGTCTGATCACCTGATGATGATTGCTGATGATGTTTGACTTTAGCTGGGTGTAGTTTGCGTAGTCTGGTCGAGTGTTGTGTGTCTGTGTCACAGATGAGACTATCAGGACACACACGCACAGATCTGACAGACATTTCCTCTGAGGGTTACATGTTAATCAAGTTACATGTTTACACATGATGTCACAGTGATGTCTGATGCTAGACAAACACACATTGCCCCCTAAAAGGATAACTCAGTGGCCCAGTACATTTCCATGCTGATCTCAAATAAACTAAAAAAATATTATGACTAGAGTGTGCACTTTCTTAAATGTTTAAATGTTTTTTTTTTTAAAGTACTTTTTTTTTTTTTTTTTTTTTTTTTTACAAAAAGATTGTTCAAAACAGAAGCTAAGGAGGTCAGATCAAAATGTTATTGCTCGGAGGTTGCTCTTTTAGCTCAAAATACTTTACATTTTTCATTAAAGGTTTCATTAAAGATTTTTCTCCTAAAAGAAGAAACCAAATGAGTGAATAGTTGTCCTACACTGGAAGGTTCAGAAGTTGTCACTGGGACAGTACCTTTTCAAAAGGCACACTTTTATACCTTTTAGGTACTAATATATGCATACTTGAAGTATTAATATGTACACTCAAGGTACTAATATGCACATTATAGGTACTAATATGGACATTTTAGGCACTAACATGCACACCTGAGGTACTAATATGTACACTTTAAGTACTAATATGCACACTTGAGGTACTAATATGCACATTTTAGATACTAACATGTACACTTTAGGTACTCTTATGCACACCTGAGGTACTAATATGTACACTTTAGGTACTAATATGCACACCTTAGGTACTAATATGCACACTTGAGGTACTAATATGCACATTTTAGATACTAACATGTACACTTTAGGTACTCTTATGCACACCTGAGGTACTAATATGTACACTTGAAGTACTGTACACTTGAAGTACTAATATGTACACTTTAAGTACTAATATGCACACTTGAGGTACCAATATGCACATTTTAGGTTCTAATATGTACACTTTAGGTACTATTATGCACATTTTAGGTACTAATGTGTACACTCTAGGTACTAATATGCACAATCTGGGTACTAATATGTACCTTTAAGGTACCCTAATGGATCCTTTAGGTACAAAGGTGTACCACCCCAGTGACAGCTTTGAGATATCTTGTCATGGCACAGTTTGAGACCTTGTTGAGATCTCTTCTGAAACCCAAGAGGAGACATACTTTTTGTCAGGGGACAATCTGAGAAACAGTAGACATCTCACTGCTGTCTAGGAGAAACAACGCAAACAACCATACACGCCTAAATCAAGATGCCCCGTGGCGTTAAAAAGGAAGGGATGTCAGTGCGAGACACCAGACAAACACACACGCACACACACACACACACACACACGCACGCACACACACACACACACACACACACACAGGAAACAGGAAGACCCTTATCTGCACATGGGCTCCATATGAGTAATGGCTAATTAACTTGTTCTGCGTAAAACACCGAAAACACATTGTGCATCTCCCTGATGGGCTTATCATACTTGAAAACAAACCAGAGACGATCAAATAAGAGATCAATGACTCTGTTAGGTATATACACAGCCTTTGCAAACAAAAGCTTAACCTTTGATCACATTATAAAGGATGTGTTTCCTCCTTTGCTGTGTCAGGGGAAACATTTACGGCAATATGTGGGTTAATTGCTCTCAGGTTTCTGGGTGTCAGGACACAATTATGCATTTAAGGATATTGCAGCCAACAGCACCATTCCTTCACGGCCCATTCATTTTGTTTGTTTTATTAGAGCAGCTAATTTCATTTATGGGGTTTAAATATTAGTAATATTATTCCTGTGTGGTTAATTTAGACAGACCAGAACAGCCTGAATTTAGTTGCACATCAGGTGTTTTGCTTAGATATAATTTGCCATTTGCAAAAGGTTTTTAACAAATATTGCAGGCTATAGAAATGTTGTGAATAGAATAGAAAGGCCCATTCATTTTGTTTGTTTTATTAGAGCGGCTAATTTCATTTATGGGGTTTAAATATTAGTAATATTATTCCTGTGTGGTTAATTTAGACAGACCAGAACAGCCTGAATTTAGTTGCACATCAGGTGTTTTGCTTAGATATAATTTGCCATTTGCAAAAGGTTTTTAACAAATATTGCAGGCTATAGAAATGTTGTGAATAGAATAGAAAGCCTATATAATAGAAATGCCATAAAACATTTGATTTATATGCACATTTAAATGTAAAAAGGATCTATTATTACCAATTTTATTATTAAAAAGTTATAAAAAGTAATTCCTTTAATTATAAAAGTAAAGTTTCCCTATAAAAGTAATAATATTCCTAAAGGATTTTCTGAATTTAAATTTAAATGAATTAATAAATGTATTAATTTAATTAGAATTTAATTAATTCGCAATTCACAATTTCACAATTAATTGAATTTAATTCCATGTCACAATAATCAATATTTTTGCCTGTAATGACATAACCCAGAAAAAAATCCATAAATAAAATAAACATATAGCCTACTGAATCTATCTATCTATCTATCTATCTATCTATCTATCTATCAATTAAAATGCATTAAAGTACTTTCAAACTATTAGACACTTCATTAAACTTTAGATATTTTCAGAAATATATTTTCAGAACTATTAACAATGCATCAATAGCTACATCAACTACTGACCTGTTAAACATATGATATAGGCAATTAAGAATGAATAGAGTTTAAAACGAATTAAACCAAATGAATGGCCTGTAATTTTTCATCTTCTTCTTCTTATTATTATTCACATCGGAATGTTGTTGTTGTTGTTTTTTTGACGTGATTTAAATCTAAATAACACAATTTAGTTCATAACTTTACCATTACCAATATTATTGCATGATTAGTAGGCTACATCCAAACACGTCAATTGTCAAATTTGAATAAAACTCTAAATTGTGCCTTTTTCGTGCCTTCCCTGATGAATGCATTTTCTTAACCGTTAAAGTGATGTGCACGTGATAACGTTTCCAAACACTCGCAATCGCTTTGGCCACAACTGAAGTGATTCTGAATAAACGCAGTGTAGCTCTTTATTATTAGGTGACTCACTGTAGGGATCGTCTTTGCTCTTGGTGCCGTTGACTCTCCCGTCTTTCCCGATCCTAAGGAAGAACTTCTGGAAGGAGAAGAGTTTCCTCTGGCGCACGTCTCCCTGGAGGTGCACGTAGCTGCGCACATGCCGGCCGGAGGTGGAGGCGGATGAGGAGTTGGCGACCCTGAGCGCCCGATGCACGGAACATGCGCTGCCGCAGGTGACGCTGGACGCGAAGATCACGGAGACGGCGAGAAGATAGACGACACACACCGACCAGCATGCAGACACACTGTTACTCACTGTCCATCTCCTCATGGTACTCCTCATGGAACATGCTGCTCAGTGAATGTGCATGGATGCCTCTCGCTCCAGAGAACTCCACTCGAGACGGGTGAAGAAAGCATGAAGTTGTGGAATTAGGCTGAAGAGCGAGTCTGTGAAGCTTCTGATGCTGAGATAAAGCGCTTTATTAATCCAATTTGGGAATGATTATCAAGGCAGCACTTATTCCTCCTGCGTTTCCTGGGAATGTGCGTCAAAACGATCCCTGTTCGTGGCATCCAGTCTTCTGATGTGATCTCATACCTCCAGGAGGTTCACAGAAATGCTGCTGTCTCTCTCTCGGTTCCTCACCCCTCCCTACTCCTTGTCTGTCATTCGGTCCCTTCCTCTATTCTCACACTCACATGAAGCATTTGCTCCTCCTTGTCGTGTCCCCCCCCCCAGAATTCCCTCCGTTCGGGGTCTGTAGGTGCGGGGTTTGTCTGATAGGGCTTTTGTGAATGGCTGTTATCTGGAGCTCTTTGATAGTGGACTAGGAAAAGAGCACAGACGCTTGAGAAGATGAACAAACCTAACCAGAGGCCACTCTTGATTGGTCCCATCTGATGATAAGAAGCTTTTAGTTTGATAAAAATTTCAGAATCATCATGTTTCGTCTTTTCTTTTGTCGCGGATCACGTCCCTTTCACCTCATACAATATCCTGGGGTCTAAATCAACATTGCTTGAAAAGACAAGACGTTGGTTTTGTTTGTTACACATTACATGTCATTGTTATTATGTGGAGCGTGTCTGTGAATTGATTATTTTATTAGAACCACAGGCGTTTAATTAACATTTCAATGAAGAAAGCAATCAAAAGCAAAAGATCTTATAGTCAAATTTACGAAAATTCTAAATTGGCACCAAAACAAGAAATTCAAATCACATTCTAAAAGGTGATACACTGCGGAAAAGTCAGTAAAAATAATGCACAATGTATAATATTAATATGAAGAAATGTTCCATTTTGAATTTTCATGCGTTTTACCCATATTTTGAATTACGCATTGCACACTCTAAAAAATGCTGGGTTAAATATAACCCAGCGCTGGGTTAAAAAGGGACAAACCCAGCTATTGGGTTGTTTTGACCAGCAGTTGGATTATTTTGACCCAGCGGTTGGGTTGTTTTGACCCAGCGGTTGGGTTCAAAACAACCCAACTGCTGGGTTCAAAACAACCCAATAGCTGGGTTTGTCCCTTTTTAACCCAGCGCTGGGTTATATTTAACCCAGCATTTTTTAGAGTGCATTGTGTTGTGTTTTAGGATTATAGGAAATGTCTGTAAACTTAACAGATAGGCCTATTGTCCTGGCAATTGATTTTACAGTAATAAGAACATTAACTTCAATGCTGCTCCAAACCACTTTTATTTTTCAGTTGAACACAAAAGGAGATGTTTTGAAGAATGACCAAGCTGCTCTTGTCCATCAGAAAGACGTAAAAAATAGCATAAAAGTAGTCCATAATACTCTCACACAAAAGAAGACAAATTGGAGAATGTCAAACTATTTTCCCTTTTTGAGTAAACTAGAACAAGAACTAAACGCGCCTCCATTTCAGCCCTCAAAATTCAGTGGAAAAGTTGACTTCTACAAAGATCATTGATCCCACAGTTTTATGGTGTATTGATGAACTGAAATGTGTTTCCAGTGACCAATGGCTTGTGTGGTTTGGTTTATCTGCCTTCTCAAACATCACTATCTTATCTGCATTTCCTGCTTTGTTTCCCCTTAAAAGCCTTTTCTGGATTCTTCACTGGAAGTGAGGCTGGCTTGTTGCCCCTTTATCTGTTTATTTTTTCTTGAAATATGCAATCATAAAAAATCAAAGTGCTGTAAACCTTATCCAGTCTAGTCACACATTCCTGCACTTTAACATGCTGCAAGTGTGCAACATGCTTTGCTTTCTGTGAGGCTTTATTTTTTGTAATTCATGGATAAAACTCAAATAAAATCAAATGCTGTGGTAGCCAACAACCACCCCGTTTGTGATCTCACGGTCGTGGATTTTATTTGAAAAACATGCAATAGTCAATGCAATTGAAATGTGGCCTTTCCTGTCTCCTTTTTTGGGCCACATGTAATATAAGAAAGATTTAGAGGACTTGTGCAGAAGCTAGAGGTCTATCTTTCTCTGTGATCTGAGTTTTAACGGTTAGTTTTATCTCGATAGATCTATTTCTTGGTAATGCTCTTCAAATCCAGTTAGAAACAGCACAGTTACCCGACTTCCAATGAGAGACTTACATCAAATAACAGCATGCTTACAAAAAACATTGAATAAAAGTACAGGTACCGTTTTTTTATTTTATTTAACAAAACTAAAAAATAAATGCATAATTTGTTACATAGCCTACATGTACGTAATATTTTTTTAAATAAAATATTTCTGAAACTAAAATCTCTGGGGTGAATTTTTTTAAACATGCTTCTAACAGTCACTGTGCAGTTGAAATGCACAAGACTACATTTCTCAGCCGATACCGATAGCCGATTATTCAGAATGATGTGTGCACATGCCGATACCAGTAGTTTTCTTAAGGAACAAAAATCTTTCAAGTAATGCTGTAAGCTACACAGGAAGCCCTTTCCTTTGGTACATAAAATTAGAGGTTAAAATTAACAACAATAGCCTATTATAGTCATTGCTATTTATTTATGTATTTATTTAAGATATAAGCACACTCAAAACTCATATATATATATAATCCAAAAAAAAAAAAACACTAGAGGGAGCATAT